CAGGAATGCGATTGCTTTGTTCAGCAAGAATACCCTAAAGGAAGAAATGCTTCAGTAAAACTTGGTCAACAGCCTATGATATTGAAAGTAATGAGTGTTGCCAGGTAAAAAGACATTCTGGAAAATTTGGCACTGTTAACACAGCCATTAAATTTTTGGCTTTAAAGAATAAGCACTCATGAAACGTGCAACTTCAGTTTCTTCAGACTTGTAAGTGAAGGAACCAAGTTACCTTTTTTTAGTGCTGTTTAGTTGCTGAGTAGCACAAGGTGAGATGGACAAATTCCACAACAAAAAGGGAGGACTTGGTGCTTTTCCTGTAAAATAATTTTTATGACTCATTTAAATTTAAATAGAACTTTAGAGTAAGTATCATGGGACTGCATTCAAAGCAATAGTTGATCAGGAATACCAAATTTCTTTTTAAGTTAGTGTTTATAGTTTACTCTAAATAAATATATATATGGCATTCTTAATCTGTATTAAAAGTCTCAATACAGGGAGTTAATAAAAGAGGGTTTTTTTTATATTCCAGTCTGTAGATAAATAGGTCATCTTGGCTGTGAAATGAGTTCTTGTTTGATGACTTGCCAGGCATACAGGAAAAGCCATGTTAATCAGTTGGAATTGAAGGAGATTTTTGTTAATTCTGTTTGCTTTTTGGCTCACTAATTTGATCATTACCCGTTTCTGGTGTTCCTCTAAATTTTTAGCTGCATAGTTTTGTCACTACTGTGTGACACCCTAATTCATCTTATTATAAAACTGTCTGTCAGCTTTTTTTCCCCCAGTAGAATTATTTTTCTTGAAGTGACCTCACCAGAGGTCAGAGAGTATTTGATGAAACTGCCTTTCATTGTGCAAAAACTATTCAGTGTAACCATTTATCTAATCTGAAGAGCACATGTTGATAATGTATGTTTTTATCCATTTGTGCTTCCATTTTACTCTTATGTATTTTTTTCTCATGCAGTCAACACATATTAATGCTGTTAGGCCTAGCTCACTGCTCATATAAGTTTATATTCAAACTAAGACTTCAAAGTTAAAAGTAGTGCTGGTAGAAATCATTTCTTGAATGCTAACAAGAATTCTCAGGAAATAAACTCTACAACTCTGAACCTGAAAGGAGGTTGTACTGAGGTGGGTGTTGGTCTCTTCTCCCAAGTAGCTAGCGATAGGACGAGAGGAAATGGGCTTAAGCTGCGCCAGGGGAGGTTTAGGTTGGAAATTAGGAGAAATTTCTTTACGGAAAGGGTGGTCAAGAATTGGAACAGGCTGCCCAGAGAGGTGGTGGAGTCACCATCCCTGGAAGTGTTCAAAAAACGGGTAGATGTGGCACTTTGGGACATGGTTTAGTCTAGTCTACCCTTGATTGGCTTAGAGTAGACTTGGTAGTGTGGGTTAATGGTTGGACTGGATGATCTTAAAGGTCTTTTCCAACCTAAACGATTCTATGATTCTATGATTTAATTAATTCAGTGAAAATGTAAACAACTTGAATCTGCATTAAAAGTACATAATGGGTTATGTGCAGTTTATTTTGAGATATGGAACGATATTTGTCCATAGTGCTTCTTGAACAAACATATGCAGAATAAATCTGGAGGAATAACTACTAGGTGTATAATTTTCTTACCTGCAGTATTTGGACTATATCAAAGAAAATTAAAATTCTGATTTTCTTTTTTTTTTAAAGACTCTAGATATCTCAACTAATACAAATGTTTATCATGTTGTTTGCAGAAGCAAAATTGAACAAACATTTGTATTTGCTCTGAACAGAAATAAAAGTACAAGTTTTACACACAAAGCAATGTTACGGAATTAAACTGAAAGATATTATAATGGAGGTTGCACTACTGAAGGAAGGTGGTGTTTCAACCAAGTGCTTTCAAAATTGAAAGCCTAAATTTTATTATAAATTTTACAAATTAAAAGTATGTATTTAAATATAGGGCTTTGTGTATCATGAGAGTAAATATTTTGAAGCTATTTTAAAATGTCTGTCTTTTTATAGGCTTTTTAGAAAATATTTATTAAAACCTTTATCATGTTATGAAAAGGTTTTGAGACTTTTTATGGCCCCAAAAAGGCATGGAGTCTCAAACAACTCTGATTTTTCAGTATACCTTATGCTAAAGGCAAATTGATCTGACAGAAAATGTTGAATTTTTTCCCTGTAAGCGATTTGACAGTGGTTATGAGCAAATACAGTTCAAATCCAAAGAAATACACTCTGTGCTTTAGAAAGGCGAAATTCACAAAGCTAGAATACATTTTGGAGCAAACAGTTATGACTTACATGTTCTTACATGGGTTAAAAAAATTGAGACATTAAAGATCTAGCAGAAAAAGGTGCATAAGACTAGTGTTCGGGAAGAAGAAACTTAACTGAATTTGGACAAGGAAAAGGACGCCATCTTAAATCATCACATTGTAATCTGTTGTTGGTACTTTCCCAAGGCTGAGATGGATTTGGTATCAAGTCTCAACATTAAGATAGGGTATCATTTAGGAAGTGCATCACTGACAAGCTCGTGAGCTTGCAGATGAAATAAAGTTGAGGATTTTTTGGCCTGTGTCATACAGGCACTTCTCGCTTTACATAGGCGAGGTTCCTACACCTCTTTCAAATGTGAAATAAGAGTCCTTTATAAGGCATAATCTTAGGAGCATCTCTTACAGTTTGGCAAGAGGCTCCTGTCATTCATTTCCATATCTTCACTAAACCCTTGATTGTGCCGGGAGAAACATACTGCAAGTCTCTTCAGTTCCTCAGGGAACTGATCCAGACATAAAATGATCCAACAGGGAAAAAAGAAATTAATTTTAACCCAGAGCAGTTCCACAGTATGGTGCACCATGTGTCTTTCCAGACAATTGTGCCTTCATAAGTAAGAAAGGGGAAGGAATCAGTACAAAGCAGGCATGAGTAACAGTGGACTTGCATAAACCAACCTTGCTGGCAAGGGGAATGTTAATAAAACTGCAGCCACACAGCTGGTGTTCAGGTATTGCTAGTGTCTGTTATTTGAAAACAGGCTTACCTTAGAAAAAAGGATGAGATTCTCTTGAAATGGTTGGGAATTTTCTGAAAGAATGCACATAAAGTCCTTGCCTTCGGGTGCTGCCGTAGCGAAGTTGTGTTCTAATAATATTTCTAAGTATTTCTAAGCTTTTTTTTTTTCCCTGCTGCCCTGTGAGCACGATGTCAACTTTTACTTTGAAGACAGTAATTTTTATCTAATGAAATAATTCCCATTTGTAACTTGATATAAAACAGCGTACGTAACAGAACTTTTGACAGTGCTGTATGCTTCGAATACTTGCCTTTTTTTCCCTAGGTTGATATGTAACTTGCTCTGTGCAAAGTACTTGCTGAATTGCAGGAGGCATCTTCTGTGAACGTTTTGCAAAGTACTAGAGTTCTGCTCTGGACAAAGTTTGTTCTTACTCATTAAAACTTCTAAGCGTGTGTGTGTGAATACTGTAGTATATATTCTCAATGTGTGTGTATATATGTGAGAGAGAGAGAATGCTACATTCAGCATTCTTGTTTTAAGCAGCTGTCAGAATGATGCAGTCATTTGTGAACAACACAGGCAGCTTCATATTTTGTGCTTTTTATACTCCCCTGGTTTTTTTACTTGCTTTTCCTATGTTTGTTTTTCATTTTCAATGTAGAGCTCTTTTTGATTATGACAAGACTAAAGATAGCGGCCTTCCAAGTCAAGGATTGAACTTCAAATTTGGTGATATTCTCCATGTCATTAATGCTTCTGATGATGAATGGTGGCAAGCACGGCAGGTAACTCCAGATGGAGAAAGTGATGAAATTGGAGTTATCCCAAGCAAACGCAGGTATGTCATGATATTTTATTGACTTTGAGGTGTCTGCTATTAAGTGTCTGATATGATTAACACATATATTGCACATGCTTTGCTTTTTGTTGTTAATTCTGTACCACATCAGCCACTTGTTCTTTTTTTGGTGGGGTTTTTTTGGGTTTTTTTTGGTTTTTTTTTAATAATATGTAGTGGGATTCTGACTAACTCAGTGAGAAGTTTTTTAAAATCTGATTTAGCCTTAGGACTTGCGTGCTGAAGTTGATAAAGGTGGTCCAAGTCCATTTCTTTGTTCTCACTGTAAGCAAGTTAGGGTTTAATAACATTACACCATTTACATGTGAGAAGGTGCAAAGTAAATTTTGTTTGAATCGTGACACTATCATGAATTCTTTGTACCCAAAACCTGGGAAACTGGAAAGTCTTCCTTTGGCTAGAGTAAACAGAGACAAGGTGTTTTCTGGCATATCAGAGACCCAAATAAGAGATTAGGTGCTCTGAATCTTAATATCTGCTGTTGACTGGTCATTGAGGCCGATCGCTTACTGTGACACGCTTTTTCTTTTTGCCCTCCCCATTTGTGGAACCTGTCTAATCACAAAATACTCCAACATCCTCACAGCTCATCATTTGAGAAATAATACCCTGTTTTTCCAGTACAGTCTGCCACTAGTAGGCTGCCATTTTCTGAAGGTGTCATCACCAACAAAAATCTGTACTACAAAAGGTACACCTATAGGCTCACATTGTAACAAGTAGTAACTTGAAGTTCTGGAATTTTGCTGATTTAACTTTTTTTTGTGCATGTTTTTGTGCATGTTTTTGTGCTAGAGTTGAGAAAAAAGAACGAGCCCGTTTAAAGACGGTGAAATTCAATTCCAAAACAAGAGGAGATAAAGGGGTGAGTTAATGAAGTACTAATTACACCTGGCACTGTGAATGGTAATGTTTTTCAGTGGTTTATGTATGCAGACTCAGTTTCAGTTTTTAGTGAAAAGATTAAATTCTGTCAAATAGAAATAATTCTGAGCACTAGAGCTAACTTTAGTAGTAAACCATTGCCAAAACACTGCAAATTGTTTGAAGAATTAGCTTAGAAATACATTATATTATCAATACTGTAATGTAATAGGAATTGTAAATACTAATCATGTATTGAATAGTGTCATTTCTAATGGCTCTGCAAGTGCTGTTTATAAAGCAGTTTAGTCCTTTAGTGTGGATTGTACTCCTGGACTCCCTTTTTTGGTGGAGGAGCTTACTGCCAATTTTCAGAAAAAGTAATATGTGCCTTTCTTTAAAGTTTTTTAATGCATATAGAAAACAAGGAAGTAGAGCTCAACAGGGTCCCTATGATAAAATGAGGTTTTATGACATACACAGTTAGGCAGACAGCATAAAGTAACTTCTTTGTTACAATTATGGATGCAGAAGCTTTGAAGAATTTCATGCAAGGGCACAGGCCAACAAAAACTCAAGGCTAGCGCCATTGCTGACCAGAATCAGTCTGCCTCTCACAGATGTTTTTTCTCACTGCCACTCTCTATTGGTGCAAATACTGATGTGGCTGTGCTCAAATCATGTAAAATAACCAATGCAGATGAAAAATAACCCAATCCAAAAGAAATCCTGGTTTTAATTCTAGTCAGTCCTTTGGTGCGGTTCACTGCACAATATGCAATCCCTGTCCCAGTACACGTGATGGGATGAGTGGTTAGAAAGCAGGGTAGCTACTTAAGCAGTAATAGGAATGTTTGTAGCTGAACTTACAGGAATTTCATAATGGTAAAGCAGCCAAATTTTTATTTATTTATTTATTTTTATTTTGAGGGTGAGGCTTTTTTCCAATATTTTGGTCATTTTAAAATTTGAGAAACAATTTCACAGCCTTACAGTTTCTACCAATAGTATATAACTAGTAATTTCAAGACTTAGGCATATGTGTTTTAGATGTAAAGAGCCTTCTAAAGTAATAATATATTACAATTTTTTAAAATCTGAAACATGCTTTAAGCTCCTGAGGAAGCTATTTCTTAAATAGTGATTTTTTTTTTTTTTTTTTTTTAAATAGCACTAATGCTGTAACATTAATCAGTCATTATTGTAGATCCCAAAGATTCCTTTTGGTCAATTATTTCAGTTACAATGTTTTCGTAACTTCAAAAATCACATATATAAAGTATTAAAGCTTCAATACTTTTATCCTGATAGTGTAGGACTTTATACTTTAAAGACTTCAAATCCATACGTACATCCCTCTGCTACATGGCCAAGGTTTCAGTTTAGTTTATTAATGAAGAAAGTGTCATGGTTGTTTCTATAAGTATTTGTTTAAAAGGAAATCAATATCTCTAGTTATTTGCTGATGAACAATTACAGTACTGCCTTGAGGATTCACTGTATTATTTGCAGGTTTTTTTCTGTTTTGGTGCATTCATATTTTGGTATTGGAATAAAATGTTATCAACTGATGTGGTAATTTTTAACCGGATCGGTTTTTATAATTTGAGTTCACTTTTTAGAAGTCACATAAAATGGCTTAAATACTTTAGATTATTTTAATTATGTTATTTTTCAAATGTTACCATGTTCTTTGAAAGATAATTGCATGGTTTTTGAGTTTGTCTACCAATAAACTGCAAACAGTAACTTAATTAATGACGTATTTGAAGTAGCATTTTGACAATAGCAGAGTTAGTGCACAGTCGCTGTGTACTAGCATAGCACCAAAGATATGCATGGAATACTGAGTGGAAAAGCAACTACGCTTGCCATTGATATAGAACTGCAGTTCTTTTTCTTTAGTAATATTTCATTTTGCAAATACGCTTACACTGTTCACAATCTTTTGCTTCAGCTGTAAATGTTTTAACATTACAATTTCTTCTTAAAGTACTCTCCCTGTATTTGTCATGGTGATATTTTTCCCAGTACATTGTCTGCACCATACATGTCCTCATGGACTGTGTGCCTTCCTGTGTCTGTATATGACAATACTCCATGGACAGGATGAGGTACCAACTTTGTACAATTCTTCAACATTTCTACATTAAAACCTTAAAGAATAACCCTAGTAATGGCAAACATTAAAATCCATGTTCCTTTCGTTTTAAGGAAAGTTACAAAATCTGGAGCAGAAATGGTTAAATTTTTTTCTTGTTTGTTCCTTTCATACACACATTCATCTCACTTTCCGTGCTGCTTCTGTTTTAATATATTCTTGCTTATGATGCCTGTTCATGATTTGCAGTGGGCTTATGAAAAATTTAATACAATTACTATGCATTTTCAACTAATAAGCAATTCTCTCTAGCTTTTTATAATCATGGTATCTTTTAAAAATAATCTTTTGGCTAATCTTTTATGCAAAATCAGTATAATATTACTTTTATTTTCTCTTTTTTTTTGGCAATGGAACTGACTCTGACCATTATACATGCAGTATATAAAATTTAATATTAGTTCAGTAAGATTTACTGTACAGAAAGTTAAAATAATTATTATGAAATATTTGCAAAACTAAAATGAAGAAGCCGATTATATTTTATGAAGTACAATAAATCAGCTGCTCCTTTTATTTTAACTACACAAATGGCAGAGTCTCACCACCTCAGTTAAATTGCACCATTTTAGCTTTGTTACATTTGTTTCCCCTATTCTTTTGCCCAAACTGAGGGACTTGTCGGAATGGAACAGTTATATAGATGTGAGACTTCCACTTTTTGAAATTCGTGTTAAGTGTTTTTCAGTATACTCAGCAAGGATCTATTCCTCTGGGCATATTTCTTTGCTGCCCTTGTTCTGTAGATTACATTAATCTTTCCGGTTATGAGAAATCAATTGCAATGACTTGTTGACTTCAGATAAAGAAGGTCAGGAGGACCATAACCTAAAACCTTGCCCATGCCAGCTATGGTTCCTGCAAGCATATGGTTGGCTCAAAACTTTTGTCCATATGTCAGGTTGATAATTTACCAATTCTTGCAATGGAATGACAGTTTTAGTCAAACACAGATGCCAGCCAATTAAAGGTTTTACGGATTTCCTACTTAACACGGTATTGCTATTTCCAGAGCTCACTGTCACTGATTGTGCTCCCATGGTACCATGTGCCTCTTTAACACCTGGTAATTTTACGTAAACTTTTTTTTAAACAATGATAATGAAAATATCACTGGATGTTTTGGTATCTGATACTGCCAAGCAAGTTTGTATTAAAACAGATGGCCAGAAGGATTGCTAATACTGTAGCAGGATGCAGCTTGTGTGTTGCACTACAGACATTCTCTTCAGGAAGGCCAAATGCTAGTTTTGTAATAGTACCAAAGAAGGCGGCCCACTGTTTGAAAAAATTTTGTCCTGTTTGACCCCCAGTTGTTACTAGATTTCATTCCATACTTAATGCTGCTAGAAAAGGTAATATATCTTTATGCATCTCTGTCGCATGTCACAGAGGAAGATGAGCTCTCACTGGCTGAAGACAGACAATTACTTGAAAGTTCATGTGCTCCAACTTTAGAAATAGCTGTTAATAGAGCCTTTAATGTATGAATTGAAAATTTTTTTATTTTTTTTTAAAGTTGCTTTTAATAAAAGCTTCTGTGGAAGTTTTACTACTTCTGCTGCACATGTGCTCTGCTTGGCTTAGAAATAAACAGTTGCCCACCAGCATAGGGTCTCAAAACCAAGTTAGGCGTTTTTTTACTTTTGCCATCCTTCCCGTAATAGAGTTTCTGCAAACCAAATGACAAAAACATGGCCAACTTCATGTCTTGCCAAAACTGGGCTAATGATTCACTGTGCCTGAAGATAAAAAGAAATTTCAGCTGGCTTCAAGTTAGCTGTATTAGTTCTAGTTCTGGGCATAAAAGCAACAAAAATGTTACTGATTTATTTATATGTTGAGTTTCTTTATTGACTTAGAACAGTAAATTAAAGGTCCTGTAGTC